CTTTAATATCTCCAGCGGCTTGAGGCAAGGATGCCCGCTGTCACCTTTCCTCTTCAGCTTCGCTGTTGACGAAGTCATGGAAATCGCGTTCACAGGACACGACTTAGAAGGTGTGGAGCTACTCCCAGGAGAACGACTTCTTGATTTAGAGTATGCTTATGATATTGTCCTAATCTGTGACAGCTCACAAACGTGTCAAGCGGCACTGGACAGATTAGCACTAGCTATCCGTCACTTCGGGCTTTGTTTTGCACCCTTGAAGTGCAAAGCGTTCCTCCAAGATTGGTCTGAACCGCCTCCTTCGCTGACCCTTGGTGGGGATCAGCTAGAAGTCGTTCAAAAATTCAACTACCTGGGAAGTTGTATCAGCGCCCATGGGATTGGAGATGAGATCACGAATCGTATAGCAAAAGCTCGGGGCGCTTTTGCTAACCTTCGCCACTTATGGCGCCGGCGCGACATCACTCTTGCTCTGAAGGGTAGAGTGTACAATGCAGCGGTACGTTCGACCCTACTGTACGGTTGCGAAACCTGGCCGCTTAAAGCAGCGGACCTGAAGAGGCTAGTTACGTTCGACCACCGGTGCCTTCGTAATTTAGCTCCCATCTGGTGGGAACACCGCGTGAGCAACGAGCGTGTTCGACGCCTTGTCTACGGCACAGGAAAAGGAAATGAACCGCTCAGCACCGTTATTTCCCGCACCAGGCTCCGATGGCTCGGCCACGTGTTACGCATGCCAGCCCACCGACTCCCGCGACGTGCGTTGTTTGCGCGCCGGGGGTGTTGATGGAAGAAGAGGAGGGGTGGCCAAGCGATGATTTGGTCGAGAGGAATGAAGGCCCTCACTTCTGAGCTGGCCTCGGTTGGAGCGTCACGGCTCCCTGGTTGGGGTCCGAAAGACGATGAACATGTTTGGTTGGACACACTTGCTGATATGGCTAGGAGCCGACCTCAGTGGCGTTCGTGTTGTGAGTTTCTTTGTCCCACCCCATCCCTCTTAGCCTCCCCCTCCAACCACGATCTCATTATTTAGCCTTATTTAATTTTGCATAGTAATTTTTTTTGATGCACAGTGGCCGGCTGGTAGCTTACCGGAACGATGCCCATCCGTTACCGGTAGCTCAGCCAGCTTGCACCAGTTGCATTTCTTTCTCCTTTTTTTCTATGTATTGCGGCACGGTAGCTGAGGTGTTCTCCACCTCTAGCTATCGTGTATGATGATGATGTTCCGCTCAGGCTATTGGGCGTAATGACCCCGAAAATTTTGCACCGCTCACAAATTCCACATGTACGCACACGTAGGTAAGTTCTCCCGTGTGAAGTCCAAGTCTGACCCCTCAGCGCGACCTGCATTTAATGTAGCTGGGTATTTGGTTAAATTTCAGCGTTAAGGACGAAATCTGATGAGTGAATAAACAAAGCGATTCCATTAAGGCTGCAATCAATCGAGCAGTGGCATAGGACCTGGTGACTGTCTCTGGGTCAACGTCATCATTTTCGCTGGATACACCTCATTTCCTGTGGTGTTTTAGCTTTTTGGATAACCAGGTGAGCTTATATAAATGCTTTTTTTGCCTGCTTTCAATTTTTTAACAAAAGTATTGGTCTGCCTACCGGTTCAGTTTAGCCAGAGGTATTTTTCTAGCCAGATCTCACAGTTTCCTTTATATCTTTACGACTGGATGAATGTTGTGGTATACTCCATGCGTCTTGAAAACTGGTAGCGTTTGAGCAGGCATCCGCCATATATTTCTTCATGATATGGTCTCTCCTTGGGTGGTGCAAGTTATATGTCTGTTCGTAGCGTATGTACACAAGGGAACTAAGGGTTAAATATCATCTCCATCGTTACCGGTTTCAGGCAGTAGGTATCCATATCTTCAGGATGTAAACAATTAACCATCGTGTAGTTACTGTTCCCGAGAGATTCTATTGTGGACAGCATCAAGACCAAATCATCAGTTTCTGTGCAATTGTTTCACATACTTCATCAGATTTCATCGATGAGTGACGGCGACTGCTCATGTTTTCTAAATCGCCCTTCCATTGCATGTGCATGCTTGAGCTCCGTTCTGCAACTGGCGTTCTGAGATAATGCAGTCCACATGGGCTAGTTCCACTCACTCTCGGGTGGAACATCTTTCTCTGCAACTGAAAACCGCGCTGCTTAGTTAGTGTCGAGGCAGGTTACTGCAGTGAAATAGCTAACAGACACGCAGCTATCAAAGCGCCTGAATGAGCAAGCCAAAAATAGGCGGACAAGTAAGGCACTAATCACGTGCATCTACTGTCAACTCAGAGGTGTCAGTAACATAAAGGGATAAACGTTATTCGCTTACAAAAACGACGCCCAATAGTAACAGATGCTACCGCCTTAACTTGTTTAAACAAATTTTAAGGGATAAGCGTAACAAAGTGAGCTTTATGCTTGCAAAGGGCTACGTGATATATAATTTAAGATGCCGTTACCTTAAAACTTGCAAGCCCTTCAACCAGCCTATGTGTGGCACGTGTTGAAGAATTGTGCGTCATCTCTGAACTAGTCGTATCTCTAGTGTCACGGGATTCTCCGCTTTATTCCTTTAGATTAAGCCATTGGATTTGGAGTTGGTTTAGCACCCTCCCCCATAGCACTTTTTGAAGCACCCATGCTCTTGGATATTTGCAAAGAGTGATAGAGTAGCCTAGAAAAGAGTGGCTGCAAAATGTGACATGGTAGTTGCTTTTTACTTCTGAGCTTCCACGTCAAATTTCAGGGTGGTTTCTCAATGTTTTGAATGTGACTCGTTTATAGATCCCAATCGTAGATACTACGAAAGTAGCAGGCCCGATAACACCGGCGTAGACGATGTTCATGTTCAGGGCCTCCTCTCGTGCTACAAGAAAATTCACCTAGTCGACCACCTGCTTCTTGTATGGTCTAGGACAAAGAAACGTGGGTCCTCCGGAAGCCCCAAGTTTACAAGGAAAGTGACGTCAGATAATCAGCAAATTCAAATATTGAGAAGCGAAAGTCGGTTAGCAAGAAACGGAACGTTGCAAAAAACTATGAATGAAATGATGCTTGTTGTTGCACGCATTAGTAATACTCATGCCCCCACCTCTGATTAGAGGTACGGCCCGACAGCATCGATACATGCCCTAAGTAAATGAGGCATAGAACCGCTTAGATGATTTGGAACGAGTTTCACAGCAACAGGAAATTCAACCATCATCGTCTACCAATCGAGGCAACAAAGTGTCAACCGTGAACATCTCCAACAGGTCATATACCAACTCATGCAAGCAGGCACGACATTCATCAGTGACCCAGTAGGGGAAAGTACATCAGACTACGATGTAGGACTTCTGCATAACAAAATGGACTTTCTTAAACATATCCACTAGCTGAAACCTTAATGACATGGCTTCTATCGTTGCCAAAAGCTTGCATACAGCTATTAGTTGCGATATCTGGCAGGTTGCAGTGCACACACAGCTGTAACTTATTTGAAGCCATCGTACCTTTCTAAACAGAGTCCAATTGCCATCATGCTGCCGTTCAATTGGCGAACGTACCTCGTCTTAGTCGCGCCACTTGCAGTTCTTCTACCTGACTGTTTCGCGTAGACAAACCTAAGCGACTCACCACATAGCCAAATGCAGTTAGCTATGGACCCAACAATGCATCCGTGATAGTTATGTTTTCCGCATGTGCTGGCAGGGAAATAGGCTCTTGCGAAATTTCCACGGGCATACTATAGCGACATTTAGTTGTAAATTGGCTGCCAAGTAAAGCGTCTCCCGAATTCTCTTTGGGAAGAATGGCTACCCATTGGAGAGTTTCTGAGCTGTTCTCTTCCAACACTGCATCCCATGACCGACCGATATCGTCCAGATGTGGACTCGTCAAGTAGTGATGGCATGAGCTAAGATGGCAATCCAACCCAGTGGCTGACAGCTTTCGTCTTGGTCATTATACCAGAGGTGTAGGAGCAACACTTGGCGCAGTAGTTAGAACTTCTTTCCTAGATCTTGGAGTACCCAACCCTGACACAGGACGGGTACGCCATGACCCAACACTGAAGGGCTACCTCGGTTTATTGTACATATGCTTGCAGCTTAAAAAATAATTGCACTGACGTCAATGTGTTGTAGATCCGATAGAAGCAAGTGCACTCGATACCACCTGCTATCAAATGACACCTACTTCAAGTGAAAATCCACTACGCAACAAAGCACTCGTCCACCCCCTTGGTTGAATGGAATGTCAAATTACGTATGTTTTTCAAAGTGGGAAGGTAATGATTGTGCAATGCCTTCAAGATACACTCGTACAGCTACAATGCGAGGCTACCCTGAGTCCTCTAGGTGTTATTATGACAATAACTCTAACATACCTCCTCAATTCGCTTATCAAATCCATCGTAGAAGCGCTGCTATTCGCGTAGTCTGTAAAGCGGTAAGCCAAGTTGCTTAGTAATTTATCTACAGCTTTCTTAATTTCAATTTATTCACTAATTTTATTTCATCTTAAAAGGCTCCAGTAAGCTAATTACAATGTGATCAGGCAGACTGAACCAAATGGGTATGAGCTTCAACAAGCCACCCATTTTCTACCGTCTACTTCTTGTAAGAATAGTGACTATATGATGAACTCTTTGTAGAAACGTACTCAGCAATTGGGTAATGACTCATTCGCACGCATGGGTTCGTTCTGTTTCAGTAGAAATATTACTATGCACAGACAACAAAAGTTCCCATTTCAACCCTTTCTTCCAACAGAATTTGGCACCAGCTGATTGTGACTAGTTTCAGGAGCTGGTAGGAGCAAGTGGTTCTATTTAGGGCTTACATTGATGTGTGTATAAACGTGGATAGCTTCATTGACTTTACTGCCTCGCTTGACTTAAGACCAGCATGCTCATCATTGTGGAGTCTGGTATGGAAATCCGCCTCCTGCACTAAGCAGAAAGATTGAAATTAACGACATACGTTCTTAACACTTCATCGGGACCTACTCGAACTCTGGTTTCTGACAATTCCGTCCACGAAGCAATTTCTTCCCGTAGATTCATATCAGGATACCGGTTTCGAGCGAAGGTGGCTTCCAGCTCCTGCAGCTGTTGACTTGTGAAATGAGTTCTTTGTCTACGCTGCCGTTTATTTAACTGACCCCGAGACGACGCATGCAACACTTGACTAGCCTCATTGGTTTTGTTGGATTTCGTTTGTGCTCCTAGGCGTCCACCAGTTTTTGAGGAACAGGGGATTTCAGGTTCTGAGGCGCAGAAAATATGTTTCCCATCAGTGCAGGAGGAATGCGCCACTTTTGCCAGTCGATGGCATGATGCCGAGTGGAATTTGCACTCCCGCTTGACATGCGGTGCCCTGGGATAGTCATCTTGGCGGACGGAGCACTTGTCCGAGGTTCCGCATTCAAACAGGTAGGCTGGGATCTTCTTTGATGCGAGAAACTTTAAAGATGGTGCAACGGGACTGAGTGTTGCTGTGTCCGTTGGGAGCTGAAGGTTGTGATGTGCAGACTCGTTGTTGGCAGCGCCGGAGGTGCGTTTGACTGGCGGAGAACTCATAGAACAATCGAAAACTGCTAAAGGCATGTAAGCAGAGGGAAAAGACTCAGTAGTCGGAAGTCCACCATATCTGCACATTGATGGTGCCGCATTCGTGTGTAGCGAGGCCATTGTTTGAACGTTGGACACCGCAATTCTATCACTGTTAATGCCCACTTTGGAATCTACAAAGTGCAAGAGTGGACGAGATGGGAATAAAGTAATTGAAAACCATGACAAACCGACTTGTAGATTAATCACATTTGCGTAAAGCGAACGCGGGGCCGACTACCGCTTCTTTGGGAAGCGGTGAACAGATCCGTTTGAAACGTAGCTCAGTATACTGCTTACATTCTTACTGGGCATCGACAATTAAGCCTGATGGGAAACTTTGCTGAAACACCTGGGATGATGAGTTGTGATGTGTGTGCCTGGGTTCTAACCCTAGTAATTACTACCGTGTATAGGTGTAGAAAATGGAAGGTACCAGAAATATCGCGACTTTGTTAGCCGCACACTCAAGTCGGTTTCCCACGACTTATATGATCTCACAAACTGTTTTTCGACTCAACGAACGGGAGTGGCGGTGCTCCGCTTGTAAAACATCGCAGCTGTTTGGCCAAGGACAGTTTTATTGAATGGCAAATAAAAATTTCACAGCTTTTTACTTTTACTTTTACTTTTTTACCTCGATAAAAGTGAATTCTCAAAGTATAGTCAATGATGTGTACAACCTGGTTTGTGTAACTTGGCTCATAAGATTGTGAAGCGAATGGTGGTCTACGGTGTGCAGTGACATATTAAGCCGCTGCTCAAGCGTCCACTTGCGTGCTGCCAGAGAATGGAACAACGGAAAAATGCTATATATCGACTAGAAAACTAACGCCTAACAGGTCCTGTAAGATGGTCTAGTTGAAAAGAGCAAATTTAACGAAGTATCAATAACGAAGCATCAGTAACGAAGTATCAGTAAGGTTGAGTGTACACTGGTGAACTCACCGAGATTTCCACAAGATATGATGTGGTGGAAGACAGAATGAGGTGGACCACCTGACTACAACTCACTAGGCTCTTTAGTGTAGACAGTCGGACAGGTGACCCCCTGTGATGGAGAATGGGCCGTACCACATTACAACCAGCTAGTTAGTAGTATCACCTGTTATCTTCCAGTAACTGCAACATTCAATATTGTGGGTGGAGAGGTGGGCTCGAGTCTATCTGGGAGTCAGTGGAATGCACCCCGATCTCACGTTTAAACGTTTAAAAACGAGCAATAAGTGTTCTTTTGAGTTTTATCAGCTGAATAGGTACTTATGGGATTCTTCAGGTCTGGATCGCTTACTTGGGGGTTACAGCTTCTATCAATTAGCCCCTCATCAGGCATAAAATGATGATAACCATATATTTCGTGGAAGTAGAGAAAGCGGTGTTCAGCAGCAAGGTAGCCGGCAAGCAGTTCTTTTAGATCTGAGTTGTTGTCAGTCATCATACCAAGTTACCCTGAAGAATATTAGATAGGGCTCACAACATGCAACTTGTTGTACTACTATCAAATTGTCACGTTCCCATACCAACCAGCTTACTGCTGTGTGTGGTTACGAAATTTCCGCATCACTGGTCTGATCGGGAGGGCCATACCAGGAATGCATGCAAGTCTCAATATCTACGTCGTTAGTTGGAGATTTCTAACAAGGTGACCCGATTGCAAAGCGTAGTGGAAATGGCATGCAGGTTGACCCAAACACACGATTCCTAATTGCATTGTGATCGTGCGATTGGCACAGAATCATGTCAAATTGTTGATCTTAGAGGCGAGCGCTTTATAAAGGACTGAAAATTTCACATGTCCTAATTCACTGGGCACTTCACGTTTTTACTTCCGTAATTTTGGACAAATGTTAGTGATAGCTGACAACCGCACCTGGATTTGAGGTGAACAGCATTATGTATGGAATGGCAAATATCAAGATTTTTGTATCATTGTGATATTGCTGGGGGCAGCTGTAGTCTTATTTTGGTGAAAACCAAGCTTTCCAGCTGAAGTCTTACCACACTAACATAGTGATTGTTTGATACTAGTTAAGCCACTATAAACCCTGATAGAAAGCCTACTTTGCAGGCCTGTCAAGTTCTTGTCCAGACACAGTAGAACTCAGTGGTTTCAGTATTGGCAGTGCTTGGTACGTTTTCAAAAATTAAATCGGAACGATTACTATTGGCTGCGTCTTCCGCTTTAAGTCTATTCAAATAAAATATTACAGCTGGAAATGAAATCGATCACTTCATATAAGAGCAACAAGTCTTGCAGTCCACTGCATTTCACTTTTTCTTGTTAATTACTAGAAGTGTTATCTGCGATGTGCAGTTCAGGAAGGGCACAACTAAGACAACACAAGCTGTCTGTTGGGGCAAATGTAAAAACTGAGAAAATGTGTGTTGGTGATAAATATGCAACTGCACACAAAACATGTATGTGTTATAAGCAGAAATTTATCACATCTGCACTCATTAAGATAGCTATTACGCCCTGGAAAAGCGCTGTACGGCCGTTTCATCACTTCATGAATCGTCAGCATTGAGCATTTCCTCTGAACCCTGTGTGACCCGAACTCACAACTCGACTGTTACCAGTCTGTGGATAAGACCGATGAGCTACGGGGGACGACAGCGAATGACTTGACTAACTCACTATTACTCTCGTATAATCAATATCTATGTGCTTGTTAGTATCTTAACTGGCAGACATATTTGCTGCGTCTCTGTAACCAACCTTTGCAGATTAAGGTCTGAGACAGATGGCAATCTTCTAAATAAGCTAGGCTAGAAGCAATGCATTAAAGCATGGATGTGAAGATCTCGGTAAGTAGAAGGGAAAGTGACAAACTAATTGATTTCCGAACTCAATAAATTGCTACTTTCACTCTAATGACCAGTTAAAAATGTGTACACATCGGCGGCTCTAGGAAGAAGCATTTCCTTGGCACTTAGAGGTGCTTAGACACGGTTGAGTTGCAGCTTAACAGTCTTCAACTTACACGGAAAGGCACTAGACGGCTGTTCTGTTCTATTGAGACTGTTTATTGCTGCGTAGCCCCGGCTGCACCGGGAACTGAACCCACAACTTCTCAACACCAACGGCTGATATCACTTGGAAATGATTGACGATAGCAAACCGTCGACTTCACAACTGTCAGATTCCATCAACAATACTTCGTAAATGTCGAACGCACGGTGCCTAGAGCATCCCCTCACACATGCTCGCTGCTAGCCATTGACAAGTTACGGGAATGCCAGAGCGTTGGGTTCACAAGTCAAATCAGGTAACCTAAGTGTGGCGAAGAACAGCAGAATTCATTGGGGGGCATTGGGGTTCCCCCATATATGTGTGTCTGGATTGCGAAACACCACCACAGTTTGAACTGCAATTTCGGTCGACCTTAAACTCAGTCATTTTGATAAGTGGAGCCTTATCCAAAGTGAAAAGTTTTTCGTATGCCTCGCTTCACACTCCACACCCCTCAGTTGGACACTTCAAGTAAAATTAACAATACACTCGGTGGGTCCTCCAAAACCAAGCAAGCATTCCTTTAGGCTGTACCAGCGATTGCTTACGGGGCTTTATAGAGTGTGTTAAAGTCTACACATGTGGATCTAACACATACCTACAAACGTAGTAATGGCTCGTAGCCGAACAGCCCAAAGACAGCAGTACGCAGCCAAATGATAGCACACAACGTGTATCCTGGCAAGAACGTGCACCGAGCATCGATCGAGTAACTGTGGCCTAGGGACTTGTGGGTGGGTAATCGCGCACACGGTCAATGCTGAGCATGGAGAGGAATTGGAGATAGTGATCAAGGAATCCGTTATTCAAAACGTATTCCCGGGTCCTACTCCCGGCAGAGGCTAACCAATGTCGAGTACTGTTGTGATGTACCGTGTCGGATGTAAACACGACACGCCGCTGCTGCAATTACCATTGCACGCAGCTTTTATGGACACTATTAATACCAAAAACAAGCCGTTACCTATTCCACTGTTTGAATATTCCGATTACTGATTGGGATGTCCTACCTTAGTGAACGAGGCTATTCAAATCTCTAAACGAGTCACCCCGTACTTCTAAGTAGAGTAAAAAGGCAAGAAATTAAAACAGCTCGGAATTTTTACTTTAGTACTACTGTGCATCATCATGCTGTTGCATGGACATGTGGGAAAGGTAATACGCGCTACTTGGAAGATCTGATTCGGGAACTGGAAACGGGTGTTCAAGTTCGATGAATATTCTCCTGTTCTCTTTTTGACCACGTCGGGTTCCTATCCTACCTCCGTACACTTTTGAGCGCTTCGTGTCGTATGCACTGTAAGTCCAAAAGAACTTTGGTTTCTTGTACCAGATCGCTTATTCCCTCTTGATGACTCAATGATCCTATTCCCACCTCTTTCCACATACCGAGCTAATAACATGCTTTTTGTGCCTTGGACCAATACACGCTCAAACGAGTATCATGTTACATTTACTTCGATTGTATGTATTTCTCTCAAGTCCACGCTTCTACCAGCCTGCTTTTAACATCATTGTTACTGTCGTCTGTTTCCGCTGTCGCCGAAAACCTAGTCGTGTCATATCTTGTACATTATTCTGCCCTTTAGAGCCACGGTCAGAGGATCTTAATACAGATGCTTCTGTCTCGACCGTTTTCTGCCCAGACCGTGCGTATAGTCTGGGTTTATAGCTCAAACTAGTAATATTTATCCACAATACGTGCGATATTACTCTAGTTACTCGAGCTGCTGGGACGAATACATTAAAACTTGGGTAGTTCATCTCCCCTACCATTACGGTTCTGATGGCTCACTTATCAGTGCTTAACAAATGTATACAAATGGAGGGTTTCGGTGTTGCTGTCTCCTATAAGTGCACTTCATGATGCGTTTCGTCCTTTTTTGGACTCCTCAGGTAGAAATAGCCAGAGCTCGGAGTGGAACTCGGGACCTAATTGTTAGCGCCTGACGCCCTGATCACTAAGACAATGAGCTCTGCGAGCAGCGCTTGACACGGCGGTTAGATGTTGATTATCGGGCTTTTGGAGCACTTGTAGCCGACATCAAAATCAACCAATTCCACAATTGAGATTGCGTGTAACAACTCAAAGCATACGGTAGGTGCCCCAAGAACCCCACA